TTTCGACTATTTAAGTGTGCTGTTGGATTGCTCTATCAAGACTGTGAAGCAGTTACTTGTAAAACTCTGTGTTATTGGTTTGGTTCCTTCCAAGCAGTTTTTAGTGGACAAAAAGCACAGAGCCTAGTCTTGTGAGGATGACGATCAGGTCTCGTTCGAGATATTGCTTGCTTGTTGGTACTTAGCCATTCTTTGTTTTCTATTCATTAACAGGGACAATTTTTATCATCAGTAATAATGATCTGCAAAAGTGGTTAAGCTTGTTGACGGACGAGGTGATGTCAGGCCAGTAATTAGGGCGGGGTGTTGTTAACATTCAAGGTGTACCGGAACCAAAATCCAACACCCTGGAGCATTCCTCCAGATTGCAAGTGTCGAGTTATTGGCGTTGTGCCGGACCCCATTTATCTGGCAAATTATTGCGTTGTTTGTCGGATATCTGCGTGGATTGAAGCATCGAAACCATCCTACTCGAAGCATACTATCTGTTCAGAGCGTACGACGTTCGTCGTACCGCATTCGCCTACTTTAAAACGTGAAAACATTTCTAAGCTCTCATTTCGACATCAACATCTTCTCCGTAAACGGCAAAGATGTTTCTGACGACCTCTACTACCCTAAATCCTCTAGTAAGTTAGAATAAAATAAGATGTCTGAAACGTTTTTGTTGACCTGACACTCTTTTCTTTGAGCCGCAACTTAGCAAAAATAAACTCAAATCTAGAAAAACTGTGACATACAATAGGAAACCATTAAATAGGACATAAGATGAAAACATTTTAGATAATCGAAAACCACACGAACTTATGAGACAAATCAATAATAAATATGTTTCTGAAAATCGATGCCGGTACTCATCGGTCATCAAGGCATGGCATATAAAAGTGAACAAATCGACGTCTAATGGTTCGGTTTCACTTGTAAATTGAGATACTTTCTTTAATGTCAGGCCCCGAAGACCATTTATTTGCGGCGATAATAACTTCTGACATGTTTCCATCGTAGAGGGCCAGTCTTTTTTCTTTTCGCCTCGGTCCAAAATAAAAATCAGTTAATAAAACCTGGAAAATACGTCGTTGGCGGGGGGAGAGGGGCTACAATCTGCGCTCTTGGAATCACCAAGCCCGCATCCAAAAGTTAGAGCAAGAGTTTTGGTTACTTGGTCTTTTTGAGTGAAGCTGTCATATACCATCAAGGTAAATTTATCTGAAGACATTTGTGTGACAAGTCACATTAAAGGAGAACATTGTTCTCCCCTCCCCCGTCCAAATAAAATGAATTATCACCATACCTAAGGGCAGCTGCGAGGATGGACGAAATGAAGAGGCCACGAACGACTGGAATGTTGTTGAACAGTTTCATGATGAGGTAAGGCAAGACTTGATCCGAAGCTGTCGTTTCGCCGTTCAATTTTGGATCACAGCCGGCAAACATGGCATAGGAGACCAGGCCACCGAGGCATTGGAGCGTCATGAAAACAATATTCACAGGTAGGTTTAGGTGTACAGCCCTGAAAGTCAAACGGACACTTTAGAAACGTGTTACGTCAAAGCTTATCATTGCAAAGATTTGTCTAGGTCAGCCTGACTTCATCGAACATCACTCTGCCATAAAATGTTGTTGTGAGTGATTTATTTTGACGAGGTTACGGGTGTATAAAACATTGAATCTTCTCTTCATGACATCAGCTGTCTAAGCGTGTATCCTTAGGGTGTTTCATTAACAATGAACTTAACAGCACACGTAACTGAACGGATTCCTTTTGCTACAGAGTCGCTGAAATACCCCATTAGAGACTGCACGATAATCTTAAGTTAAAAGAATAAGAGTGGAACACGGGAAGGTAAACAGGTTTAAATGTGCGAATATATAAGCCTTTTAATAAATGTTGGCAGATGGCGTTAATGTCAACTAAACTGTACTCTTTGCCAATAGTAGCGAATATTCGAGTCCCAGGAAGCAGTTCAGAAGACGA